CTACATGAAAGATGACCCTCAGGCTTTCTCATAAAGAATCTCTCACGCACCCTGCTAACCTTGGTTGCCAAAGACAACCTCTTCCCACAGAGGCATGAATTTCTCTGGCTGTTTGAGAGAGCAGGTCACATACTGAACAAACAACACAGCGGTTTAATGGGGGCACGGCAAAAAGAAATGGCAAAGAGAAATCCAAAGAAGCAGACAGAGCAAAGCCCCAGCATGGTCCTTTAACCTTCTTCTGTCTTGGAGACATCAGCTCTTGCATTCTGCCAAGCGATGGCAAGCGTCTGAGTTGAAACGCAAACAGACGAGGGCTGCTCATTTCACCTCAGAGGGGAGAGAATATCCTTGGGAGACCCACTGAGATGGGAAGCATGGCTTTGGCTTTTGGGGAAGAGAATGGGGCATGGATACAGGCACTTGTCCTATTGCTAACCCTAACTAGAGCAGACCCATTGAATTAGTGGGGTTTCCCTATGCACTGACTCCCCAGGCAACAATTGATTCAATGGGTTTGCAGTCACTGCAATGAATCAATAGGATTCAGGCCTTAGACTAGCAATTCCCAAAGTCTGGTCTTCCAGGTGTTTTAGACTTCAGCTCCCACAAGCCTCAGCCATCTTGACCAATGGTCAAGGATTCTGGCAGCTAAAGTCCAAAACATCTGGAAGACCAGAGTTTGGCACTCACTGCCATAGACCTGTTGCCACATGCAGTTCACTCTTATAGTCAGGCAGCAGAACAAGGTTAGGGGAACATAGACCTGTCCAGATGTTGTTGAACTGTAGTCCCCACCATCCCCTAACATTAGCTATGATGGCTCAGATAGATGGGAATTAGAATCCAAGAACAGCTGGAGGCCCACATGTCCCTTGCCTGTGGCTTAAGCCAAATGTTTAATGGAGGAATGAAGAATCTGTATCCTTCCAGATATCCTTGGACCACAGATCCCATTAGCCTTCACCAATGGCTCTGTTGACTAGGAAGAATGGGAGCTACAGTCTGATTGCTAAGTCCACAAGTTACCATCCCCTACAGACAGTTTTTTGGGGGGAAGGGGGAGTACTTTTTTCAATCACAACATTTCAAATTTTGCCAGCATGAACAGTGCCCATACGAGCTGAGGGTTCTGGGACCTGTAATCCCAAAATGTAACTTTGCCAAGCTTTTTGGTGGCAGAAGAGATTTTTCCCTTTTTGTTGGTTCGCTTTCTCTGTTAAACTGAAAGAAGAACAGCAACATCAATATCTTATATCAATATCTTTATCAATTTATCAATGTCTTTGTCCTCTTTTTCAAGCAAGCAAGCACTTAAGAGTGCCTACTAAGTGCCCACTGAGGCTGGCAGGGGGAAAAGTGAGATCAGTACCCACATCATCCAAACAATCCAAGGTACAATGAAGCAAATGGTCCTGAATCCAGCCCAAAACTGAGAAGGACCAATTTGGGCCAGAATCTTCTATCATGGCATTTATTACTTAAATGTATATATCTATGTAGCAGAGGTATTAAGAAACCCTGTCAGTGAATTGTGATGATGTGTAATGGGATATTGGCAAGAGTGTGCCAGTGCTCCTGGGCATTGTACATCATTCCTGATATGCATCCGTCTTATGGTGTGTCAGTCACTTTTCCGGCTCCCCTACCTAGTAACACAACAGCCACCCTTTACTGGTTACGGGTGTTACAGAACTGTCCAGTTCTAATTCTCACAGACGTAAGTCTACTTAGGGAAAAGCCCTTCCTAGGACTCATGAAGTGAGATGCTAGGCAGCTGTGGCAACAGGCAGAGGGAAAAGAAACATTTAAAAATACAAGTGAGGGTGGCTAAAGACAGGAGAAATTCCCCCAACACTCGCCTTTTGAACCCTACCTGATGCACACACATGTCTGCCTTGTTGGCGATACAGCCCCTTGCTCCCCTAGTCCTCAGAAGATGAATTTGTCTTTCCGTCCAGTGACCTTACCTGGAGGAGGGTGACATTTTCAAAGTGCTTTACGCGGGCCTGCTGTCAGCTAGTGCCTAACCCTTTCCATCACACCAGGGAGAAGGAGCCCAGAGAAGGAGTCAAGTGTCTCGGTTCCTTTCGTGACGCTGCATATCAATCGTGCTGGATGTTTGAATGGGAACATTCAGGTGGATCTCCGCAAGTATAGAGAAGGCAGAAGAGGTCGCCAAAGCCAGTAGGGCTGGACCTTGCAAAGGCTGGCAAAAGTAGGGTGCATTAGGCAAAACGCAGCCTATTGCACTCCCATCCTGATGCAAGTTTAGTGCAGAGAATTTGTACACATGTTTAGCATGCTGAGACAACAGTGAAGGGCAATTGTACATAGCAAAAGGGAAAATCCAGGCTGGTAGTCTGCTTGGGAATTACACCTTCATAAATGGCCTTACACCTGCACAAAATTGAACTGAGTCGTTTCACAAAATCCTAGGAGTGAGGAGCTGCTGTGATGTTACAATGTACAGGCATCCATTGCACAATGGTGTCCATATGCCATGGCCTAATGCACATCTGGACAATGGTTAGGAAGTGCATCAGAAGTGCCCAGTGTACATTAGAACATTCTTGCTGGTGCCCAGATGCACACTTTTGCAATTTATCAACAGAGGTTCCTTGTGTTTCTGGTGACATTTGATGTCTTTCATATCGGTGGGCAGCAAATTAACTCCAGGGCCGGATTCTAGTTGGTGCCTTGCACATATGTAAGTTCCCCTATGGAAGGAGTTGGACATTTTTGTCCAGTACAGAATGGTCCTTATTCACTTCAAGGTTTTGGAAGTGGGGATTGACATGCTCATGCACATGGGTATCCTCACGCCCATGGGCATGCACATACAGTTATGCATTTGCTTGCAAAACACAGACTTATGCATTGATTGTGCAACATATGTTGAATGGCAATGTAGCACAACCAAATATCCAACTCAAAAGCATCACTAAAGGAGCAGGGCTAAATAGCCACCATGGTGCCAAACAGCTTCTTCTTACCTGCATTTTCATCTTGGCAGCTCATTCATGTTTCCCCAGATGTAAGGTTGGTTTGTCATCCCTCCATCTGGGGCCTGATGAGCATCTCTTCGTATCGACCAAAGACATTGTGGTTGTCTATTAATAAAAGGCTTCTCTTTAGTGTAGAAATTACAGAGGAAGAATGAATGCTAAATGGAGAGTTGGGAAGGGAGGAGGGTGATCCTAAAAGGCTGTTGGCACATTTCATACAAAGAGTTGAGGAAACCATGCTGGGGGAAATTTCCCCAAGCAGAGAATTTTTTAAAATATTTAAGATCCTAAAACGATATTGTGTCAGCCCTGTCCTAGGCATCTGCATTACTCCACTACTTTAAAAAAAAATGTGAAACAAGTCTGTCTTCTTTAAAGATAAATGAGAGTGTTTCTCATTGGGCTGAGAGGCCAGCATTAAAAAAAGGGGGAGGACGTGCAGATGCTTTAGTATAACAGAAGTGCCAATGGGCATAATAAATACATAAATTACGCCAGTCACTGAGCCTTAGTTTCAGAGTGCCAGGGAAGCCTCAAAAAAGGAAAAGGAAGGATTCTTATGCAGAAGGAAATGGGGATAATAACTCGGCTCTTTGACTGGCTAGAAGGGCCAAATGTCTTCCAAACTTGATAAAAGCAGGCATACCACTACCCACTTATCTTGGCACAGAATGATGCCTTCTGATCAGGACCCACCTTAATGACCAAGTAACAGGAGGTGATCACCCATATATAAGGGAAAGGAGGGCTGGATGAAAAAACCTTGTCTTTCTTTATGATTATTTTCTACTGTATGTGTAGGCATTCTGCATTGCAGTTATGGATTTGTCACCTAGAGTTACAGATCTGTAGGGAGCCAGAGTGGTATCATGGTTTGAATGTTGGACTACAACTCTGGGAGATCAGGGTTCGAATCCCTGCTCAGCCATGGAAAACTACAGGTGAGTCACACTCTCTCAGCCTCAGGGGAAGGCAATGGACAATTGCCTTTGAACAAATCTTGCCATGAAATGGTCAATTTCATGACAGAATCTTCCCAGGAGGAAGAATGAGTCTCTATGCGCACACATGCACATGGAGCAGTGAACGGTTGCGGTAAGTGAGAGTCTCCTGCAAACAATATTCTCTATCTCACACCTGCTGCATTTCACTTGACAAGCAATTACCGACTCCAGGGACAAAGTCCAACTCGTATATCTCCTTGCCCCTAATCTCTTTCTGCAATGGGACCAGGTGGGGCCAAAAAGAAGCTGCAGGGGGACTTGTCTTATTACCTGGAACATAATTGAACAGCAAAGCTATCCTCGTGCATAAATAGAATTTATGCTAGTTAGACAGGTACAGAGCCTATTAAGGAAATTAGCTGGAAGTCTTCTGATAAGGTGGCACATTCATTACACATGGGAGCCCAATTTGCATCCATTCTCTGAACGTGGTGTCAAAGCGAGGCAGTGTGCAAGGGAGGGGGCTGCGGTGTTTGCCTTTGCTTTGGTGTTTCCCCATCACCGTGCATTTGGTAAATTTATAGACACATCTAGTAAAAGCATCATTTTGTATCTGATGGTCGGTTAGACCAGGGAGGAAAATACAACCGGCTGTCTCTGCGAGCCATTTTGAAAGCATTAAACTGGGATTGATGGACGGGAAAGGGAATCAAAATGGGAGTCTCACCCTTCTACAGCAGCCGGGCGAGTCCATTGTTCTTTCAGCAACATTTGCAACTGTTTTGGGCCTAGGCAGATGACAGATTCTCAGAGGTTCCCTATAGTTACATGACAGCTTCAGTGCACGTCACAGACTCATCCTCAACCCAGGCAAAACTCTGTCGGCTCATCCCCTTAAGAGTTTTTCCCTCTAGCTTTAGCCACCATCCTTCTTTCCCCTAGCCGTTCCTGTTCCGCTTCTATGGTTGTAACAGGGTCTCCTTAGGGGGCCACCACCTGTCTATCTCTCCGGCTGGGCCACATAGAGGAACCTCTCCCAAGCAAAGTCTTTCTGCTAGCTCTTCCATAACCCAGGTTTCTCCTATGGCCATGCAAGAGCTTGAGTGACACCACATCCTCCAAATGTCAAAAGACTCAGGGTGGGGGAGTGAAAACTGGTCCCTCCTAAATGTCTTGTGGCCTTTCCCTTGGAAGTTTGGAATCTGCAGCAGAAAGAAAGAGGATCTCATCTCTGACCTGCATTCAATCATGCTGCCAGAGCACCCAGCCATTACTCAAGATGACAGAGCCGCTGAAAAGAGATGACTGTCGCTGTTGAGGATGCAAAGACGGGGATGACATTTTATGGGACTTTCCTCCTTGGGCCCAAGGTTATTGGCAGCATCAACAACAACGGCTGAACCTTGAAAAGTTCCCACTGCAATCTGGGGCTTGGACAGAAGCGGGGGGGTGGGGGGAGGGAGTTGGCTCTCTCTTTCTTACAACAGTTTCCCCACAAGAGCTTTCTAACTTTCCTCTTTGTCTTGCCTGTTGAGGAGCCCTTCTGTAGGAAAATGGAGGAGGCCAGCAGGTTGTCTCAGGCCCTTTGCTCAATCCATGGGCGATGTTGTTAGCAGGGACAGGAAAATACATACGTTGCATTTTAGCCTTCATTCAGATTTTGAGACCCCAAATTCTTTCCATCCCAAATATGAAAGGTGAGAGCCTAGATCAGAGACATGGGTCTAACCTGCACTGCAGAAATAATGCAGTTGGCCACAGCTTTAATTGTCACAGTGCAACGCTCAGGATTTCTGGGATTTGTAGTTTTGTGAGATATTTAGCCAGGGAATGGCATTGTCAGATGGAGCTATGACAACAGAGCTCCGTCTTTGTAGTCACATCTGACAATGTACAGTCTCAGCCTTTACCGTCTTTATTTATGCCCTGCCTTTTCCCCAAGATTGGGCCTCACTGTGACTTACAAATGAAAATGATTACAATACAGGTTTTTAAAATATATCAAAAGACAACATTAAAATTATTAACCATGATCAGGATTCTACATCACAATCAATGGAGCATAACTTTATACATCCGTAACTAAGAAGCAGAGGCTCTATGAAACCCTGTCGGTGAATTGTGGAGATGCATAACAGGACACCAGCCAGAGAGCCCCAATGCACAATGGGCACTGATACAGATTGGGGTGCGATACACATCGATTCCTCCTGTAGGTAACCACTGTGCAACAGACACCAGTTCATGGTAACATCACAGCAGCTCCTTGATGAATATGGAAACCGTGCAACTCCCCAATTCTTTTTCCTGCACCCATAAGACCCCTGATGTTGACACAAGTCCCTAACAGAATGCCAACTGCTATTCAAACACTTTAAAACATTTACATTTGAGCCTGGTTGCACACTGTGTGATGCCCATGCACTGTGCATATATATTTGGTTGTGCAATTGCCACCTAACTCCGTGAGCATAAAGTCATGCTCTGTCTCCTCAGCCAGTATCTATAATTTATGGTGATAATATGCCATGCACTGCCTTGCATCCCATTTGTAAGAGAAAGGTGGGATGAAAATCAGTAAATTATACTCCAGCTGAAATTCTTTCTTCTGCACAGCTGTGAAAAGGACTCTCCCCTTTTTGTTTGCATCAGGACACCTAACCTAGACATTTTCCCTCTAGCCAGCTTGCCAGAGGGCTCTGTGTGTGTGTGTGTATAGGGGACAAGCAGTGATTTGTTGCTTGCACCCAATTGCCTTTAAAATCCAATTTGGGGGTAATGCATTGTTAGCAAAAGGGTGGCATAACCTGTGGCTCCTTTGCAATTGGGCCCAGGCGCGCCTTCCCTGGCTGCCCATACATCACCATTCCCTTCCAATTTGGTGTCACTTTGCCAGCGTGAGACACCTGAGCCACACGGTAATTCTTGTTGGGTTTTTCCACCGGTCATGCAAGCAGGATTTATAATCCATGCTTTTTTGTCCCCAGGCAGCTGTAAAAAGGAAATGGAGAAACAATGATTCCAGTTCCTCCACACAGCCAACACTTACTGTTATTCCAGATCATGACTGAAATGGAGGTTTGGGGCATTTGTTCCAAAGATAGGCAGTTTTAATACCTTCCAAGAACCTCCAGACATTTGTCCAGTGGGGCTCATGGTGGCCAAAGCACTTGTGTAGTCACTTTCCTGAGATCTGTATTCTTGTCCTGAAGTTTTCCAGACTCTTTTCATTTTCAACAAAGGTATTTAAATGTGTGTAAAGAACAGGACATGTAAACCCATTGAATCAACTCTTGAATGGCGACTCACCATGTGGGTAAATCCCATTGAATCAGTAGGTCTGCTCTACTTTGAACTAACAATTGAACCTCTGGAGTTATAGACCAAGGTGGGATTCATGAAGCCTTCTAGAGGTTGTTGACTGTGACTCCTGGGATTCCTTCACCCTGGATGTGTTGGAGAGGGCTACTGGGACATACAGTCCAATGACAGCTGGAGAACAACAGACTTCCCGTCCCTGCTGTAGACCAAAAAAGAAAAAAGCATTTCTCCACCAACATGCAATTGATTCACCCCCTTGTCTCTCAACATATCATTTCAAAGTCACGGAAGCTGGTGGCTCCCTTGGCAATGGGGCATTGACACCATGCCAGGTTTGGGCTAGCTTTAGATGAACAATCCGAGATGCTGTACTTATTCCAGGAAAGAGGGCTTAGCACCTTAGATAGTTCCTTTAAAGCTTGCATTTGAAAAACAAACTGGAGTGGCTTCACTGTTCCACTGACATAGGGGAGACCAACCACCCCTGTCTCCCAGCTTTTCTTAGGTGGGCTTCTAGGATGCACAGGTGGGTGAGTAGTTGTTTTCTGGGCCCACTTCCCAAGTCCCTCACCTAACAGCTACTATTCATGGCCTGCTCTTCTTCAGACACCTTGGCAAGGGGGAAGGAGGAATTGAACTGACTGATTACAGACTTGTTGGACAGCACAGTGCACTGCTGGTTTATAGTTTTTAATTTCCAGCCCAGAGCATGGCACAGGCTTGGAGCAGGTAACAATGAATTAAAAACAAATGAAATGTAAGACTAAAATTCAATATAACCTGCCAAGAAGGGCTATTAAATGGAGAGGAGTTGAAACGCTCCTGGCCTTTAGAACAGTTACAGATTCTCTTTTCTACCACTTTAGCTTCTGATTCACCCCAGCGTGAGCGAGGAAAGCAAATCTGGGTTTAAAATGGGATGGGCAACTGGGGACAGGTCAGGATTTAGGAACCATTCCCCGCCCAGGACCCCTCCAGTGCAATGCACTGCTGTGTTTTTGCACCATCGGAAGTGATATAGCATCACTTTTGGATACCATTTGGACTGAACATGGTCCAGTCTGGGGGTGCTCTAGAAGCCAAAAGGACTAACCTGAGGCTATTGCAATTTGGATGTTTCGTGAGACAACATGACTCAATAGGGAAAATATATATAATGCTTGTTGAAAGGAGGGGAGGAAAGGAAAATCATGTTACAGATGGATTGTAAGACCAGAGCAGGCAGTAGATGACTGAGGTACTTGGAAGGTCACCGTCAGTCAAAGTTGACTTAGCAGCAAATGGCAACAGTGAGACACAGATCTAAGCTGCACTGCAGAAATAATGCAGTTTGACACCCCTTGAGCTGCCATGGTGCCATGCTATGGAATCCTGGGAACTGTAGTTTGTTCTGGCACCATAACTCTCAGATAGGGAAAGGTAAATCTCTCATCAAATGACAAATCCCAGAATTTCATAGCATGGCGCCATGGCAGTTCGATGGGTATCCAACTGCATTATTTCTTCAGTACAGATCAGACCCCAGTTTACCTTCAATTTAGCAATGGGAGTATGAGAATCAGTGTGGCCCAGTGTTTTGAGCATTGGACTACAACTCTGACAAGAGTTCGAATCCCAGCTCAGCCATGAAACCCTGACGACCTTGGGCATGTCTCATGCTCTC